CCGCCGGGCCCCAGGAGTCATCGCAGACCGTCCCCCAGGAGCCGCGGTGATAGACCTCCAGCCTCCCGGCACAGCCGTCTGGTCCCCCGGCCAGCCGCAGGGCCCTGTGGTCTGGGAGCAGACAGAGCCAGCGATTACACTTCAGAAAGAGTTGTGTGCTTCCTCTATGTGGCAGCAGGAAGAGAACCAGTGTCCTGTCCAGTTCAGTAATCCCTGGAAATCTGTATCCCCGTCTGAAATGCACATGAGCTGCTGATATCTCTTCCACTCTCGGGTTGTTCCACGCATGTTCCACATTCCACAAATGATTTTTCTCACCATCCATGTATAAAATGATTTAAGTTGATTAATGTTTATATTGTCACAAATATGGGGGTTAAAAAAACAGAAAGTGGAATAATCAATAATGAAATAATCAGATCCCTCAAATTTCAGAAAAATGGCAGGAATATACCACAGAAGTTGGTGTAGTTAGAAGCACCCGAGTTTTTCATTCTCTGACAAAGCTCTGGCGAAAGATTAATACATTTGGCAAATTGGGATAAACAAATATTTATTAACAATAACACAAACTACATAACACATACAACTTACTCTGTTTACAAACAGGCATCTCAGAGGCCTACATCCTGAATACACAGAAAAACCCAAACTGCTAACCAGTATTAAAAAATATTCCTACATAACGCCTAAACAGGCCAACAGGAGAGACAGACCTGCCTTCTAAATGAAATAGAATGTGACCTAGAGTTGAATCTCTCTTCCTACAAATCCAGATACTTCAAAATGAATCAGAATCTGGTTCCATGGTCTATAATTGCATCACTAGCCAGGAGAGAATGTTTTTAACCTTGGGATTCTTTAAACGGGAAATCAAGTTTCCTGTTAAATAACAGAACAGCAAGCTCTCTTAAAAAAAGGTTCCAGTACTTAGCGAACAAGGTCCTCTTGCAAGGCATGCACTTCCTTGTCCTCTCTCTCCCTTCTCTTTCCATGTGTCCCTCCTGCGTCTGCCTCTTGTTGGTTTCTCACTGATCAAGACTCTTGATGATTTACCAAGGATTTAATTTCTTCAGAAAAACCAGATGAATCAATTTGATCAATGTGTCTCAATGTATCTCAGAACCACTACAGCTCAGCAAACACCTCACCCATTGTCGCTGCTCACTTTCAAATCCAGAGAACTGCAAATGACGACAGCAGCTAGATGCTGACCTTCCATCCATCACTATGTAATCCATGAGGACAAGGGATACATACAGAACTTTGTGTACTTTCTTTCGGTCTCCCTGTCTTGTTCAAACATGACTTCAATCTGCATTCAAGTGGTGGTGGTAAAAGGTTTACATTACTCTAATTCCTTGCAAATGCATAAAATACACCAGGCGACCGAACTCAGCGCACAAACAACGGGCTCCTTTCAACCCTGTTGTAATAAGCAAAAGCACAAACACACACTCAGCCCCCGTCTCTATCATGGAAAGTTTTGCGGAACGCCCTCATTTCGGAGTGGGATCAGATTTCCTGTCGATACTGAATCGGATACGACACCGGACTGTGCGGAGGAAGTACTGTACGTCACGGAAAGTACGGGCTGAGACAGCATGGAAGAAAATCCCGGCCTGAGTGTCTTTGTTTTTTTGGCCAGTTCTGGAAAGGGCCGCCCTTTTGGAAGTGTTTTTTGGTGTAAGTGATGGAGAGAGACTGGACTGCGTGCGTCCAGTCCTTAGGATTGCTTCCGTCTTCTGCTTCTGTGACAACTCAACTCGCTTGAGCAAACCGCATCAATCTGCTTCTTCTACAAAATCCCAGCTCCAAAGCACCGTGCAAGCCCTTTATATACCAAACACACACAAATTAAATTCCAAGTGAGAATATGCACTTCTCCACCCATCACCAGTAATCTAAAAATTCAATATTTGGCACCCAGTGAGTCTATTTACAGGGATAAAAGGTGCTTTTGGCGGCCTCTAGTGGCTGATTCTTCAACTTTGGGCACGTCTGTTGAATTAGACTTCTTCCGATTCAATTAGACCATTGAATTTAACATTAAATAAAGTCTGTGCTCAGGAAAGACTCACGTGAGCACACCACGGCGACGCTGCTCTCGGTCCTGCAGCGCTGTGTCCGCGGGGAGCTGCAGTTCCCCAGGTGAGACTCTCCCCCGGAGCACCGGATGCCGGTCAGACACACGCTGCCCTCGCCTGTCCCGTACTGAGAGGAGCCGAAGACGTCCACGGCGGCGCCGCAGCCCAGCTGCCTGCACACCACAGAGGCCTCTCCGGGGCCCCAGGAGTCCTGGACGACCCTCCCCCAGGTCCCGCCGTGGTGCACCTCCACCCGGCCCTCACAGCGGCTCGCTCCCGCCGACAGCCGGACGTCCCGCAACGGGAACGACGACCCTGAGGACAGCAGGGCGGAGGAACCGATAACTCTCGGGGGCTTGACAATACAGCTGCCCCTTGCTGTTCTGACCCTACTGCTGACAGGTAAGGAGGAATGATGTGTTAGACAGCGTCGAAGAGCAGCCACCGTCAGAGAAGCCTGGGAAACACGCGGTATCAGTACAGCACGTACAGGGCTCAGCACCAATGATGTCACCCTCCCTCAGGAAAAGAGGGATCATCCATCAGCTGCACGTCACTTAGAGTGGAATGTCCAGAAAAGCACTGTATGAGTGTAAGGAATAATAATAATCATCCAAAATAAAAATATTAATATTGACATTAAGAGAATATGTTTTTATTTGACTGCGATGTCATGTCAGTGCCGAGGATAAAGCAGACCCGAGCGTCTCAGGTTTTTGAACCCTGGCTAAGGCTGAGAGAACCCGGGCTCTGCCTTAGAAGAGAGAGGCGTGTTCCAGACGCAACATCGTTGTTTACATGCAGCTCTCCCTGGCACTGCTGGTATTCGACCCCTAAACCAGTCCACCGCGCCGAGAACCCAGGAGCTGTTCCGCACTGTAGAAGCTCGGAGGGGGGGGGGGTGATGTCGGCCACTGCCGCGGACCCGCGCAACCCCCCTCACCCCCCCTCCTCCACCGCACTCACCGGAGCAGGTGACCTCCGCGCGGGCGCCGGGCGGGCACTCTCCCTGCCCCAGGGCGAACCCCCGGCACGCCATCAAGCGATCCTCGCTGCCCTCGCAGTCGAAGTGATCTCTCCACGCCGCGCCGGACCCCACGCCGAGCGCTCCCGGTCCGGCGGCCGCCACCGCGACCCCGCAGTCCAGCTGCCGGCACAGGACGCTGGCGTCTCTCAGGTCCCAGTGGCGGCCGCAGACGCCCGCCCACTCTTCGCCCCGCCACTGCAGCTCCACGCGGCCAGAGCAGGGGTCCGGGCCGCCCACCAGCCTGAGCCCCGTGTAGCCTGAAAGACAGGGACCACAGCTCTCGGCAGCCCGGTCTCAACACTTCACCTCCAGTATGGCAAGAGCACAAGAGCAACAGCTACTGTTGGCAGAGGAACAAGCCAAGGTTTATTCCCTGCTGGAAAGAGAAGAAAAGAAACACAACGTTTCGGCTGCGGAGCCGTCTTCGGGTGTGAGAGAGAGAGGCAAGTTGGCAGCTGATAAAGCAGGGAGAAGGACAGGGGAGAGGATTAGAAGGAAACGAGTCTGTCGCTCAGAGAAGGGGGAAGGTGTGATCCTAGTTTCAGGGTCATTTTGGTTGGGATGTCTTTCTGCAATAGGAGTTGAGAAACCCCTCGGTGAGAACGCAGATGGAGAGATCAGTGTGATCATGGCCGTCAGAGGTGAAATGGGAAACTATGAGCTTGGAGAGATCTTTGATCTTCACATGAGCCCCAACATGTTCTCTGAAACTGTCTCCCAGTCTCCTTCCTGTCTCACCAATCTAGATGGCCGGGCATTTACTGCAAGAGATACAGTAAATAAGGTTGCTGGAGGTACAAGATGCCATCTGGGTGATTCGGAATTGTCCTGAGGGGCCTTGAATGAGTGTGGTGGTGGTGGCTGTGTACTTGCAGGTGATACAGCGAGCTCTGTTGCAGGGGAAAGTGCCTGGTGTGGATGGCTGCTGAGGGCGGTCAAGGGAGCTGTGAGCAAGAAGGTCACGCAGATTAGGTGGTCGGCGATATGAGATGATGGGGTGGTCAGAAAAGAGGGTACCAGCAGATTATTATTTTTTGTATTTGTACAACTGGATACACTGTGAAGAGTTTTTTTGTTTCATTCAACTGTTCGAGGAAGTCCCTGATGTAAATTAAGAGGCAAGTTAGTTTAAATGCCTGGGCAAGTGCTGCACCACGGTAATGTAGAAGACTGTTACAGGCTTCAGAGCGAATTCCGAGCCTCACCTGTACAGAGCACGCTCACATCACTTCTGTGCGTGCAGCTCTGGTTCCCCCTGGTGGACAACGGGCAGAACGACAGGTGGGTCTCGTCACCGCGGCAGCGCCTCACTTCGGCCCGGATTAGGCCCCGCCCCTCTCCGAAATAGGCCCCCCCGAGGACCTCTTTAGCGCGGCCACAGCTCTCCTGCCGGCAGATGACCTCTGCGTCCGGCCAGTCCAGGTCCGTCTCGCACACGGTGCCCCAGGTCTGCTCAGACAGGACTTCCACCCTCCCGAAGCAGAGATGGATTCCACTCGCTAAACGCACTCCTTGTTCAGCTGGAATGACAGTCGGGCAGAAGGGCAGGTTAGGAAAACAACCAGCACGTCCAGAGGCAGAGTACAAACTAAGAGAGAAGCTGTAACTAGGACGAAACTTCCCCGATGCTGGAGAAATCCATCAGTCACTGTCCAGCAAAGCAATTTTTGATCTTTCACCTTATTCTCGAAGAGTAGAAACTGCCCTAGGGCTCTGAACTTTTGTGCTATTGCTAGTAAGATAGTTTTTTGAGCTTGAGTTTAAATGTGAGATTTTTAAAGCTTGAGTGATTACATTTATGCCATCAGATGCCACTGGGCTAAAAACAGAACCACCTTGCAACAGTGTGGATGAGAATCGATTCCAGAGGTTGATCCAAAACATTTATTTAGGGTTAATATTTAGCTGAGCTGGAAAAGCACCACTGTGGAAGGGCTGCCAGGGCTATGGGCTCAGAACTCAGGAGGTGGGAGGTTCAAATCCCAGGAGAGGCACAGCTCGTGTACGCCTGAGAAAGATCGCTCCAGATACGATTGTGTTCGCAGATACAAATGGAAGCTGCTTTGGACAAACACATCAGCTAAATAAATTAAAGACAACATTAAATAGTATAGAAGGTCGACTTCATAGGATACTGCTGCTCTGCTATCAATTCAGAGATCAAGCTTTTCCAGTATTTTCATCATAAATATCAGATATTCGAATAAAGACTGATGTATTGTTTTTTTCAATTTGTAAAATTGTGGACTGGATCCACACGAGATTCGAGAGACCGCCATCGATCCCCTACCTGAACAGATCACTCCAGCATCTTCACTGTGATCGCAGTTCATGTTACTCCATCCCTCTGAAACACAGCGGCTCAGTGTGACCTCCGTCCCCTCGCAGGACACCCCGTCCAGCCACACCGGTCCAGACCCCGGTCCGAAACGGGCGCCCCCTGGTGCCGACACGGCGGATCCGCAGCCCAGCTGCCTGCACACCACGGCGGCGTTGTTCAGCTCCCAACCATCGTCACACACTGTCCCCCACTGTCCCGCGTGCAGGACCTCCACCCTGCCCTCACAGGCGTGGGCACCACCCACCAGCCTCACGTCACGGCCTGGGGGACAGGGGCGAGAGGGAGTTTCTTTCACCACCAGCGCTGTTCGACATGGAATTGCTCAGAACTTTTTTTTTTCCACTGGGCCTATGCTTTTCGCCAGAAAACATTTGAACGGGCACAATCGCCAGTGGGTCTTGAATTTTCTCAGCTGTTGATCGCAAAGACACAAGGCAGGTCACAAACGAGAGCTGGCCCTTCAGATCGTCCTGCTCATTTGGTTGTTAGCAGTTAATGAATGCCAGGAACTCTGTCAGTGCTATTATCAGCAGTCCTGTCTGAGCTCAGGCATTACTGTTGGAGTGGCTAGATGGAGTATTAAAAGAAGGGTTGTGGTGTCTATTTACTCCCTTTGCTAAGACCACACCCCCACTGCTCCTGAACACTGCTGTGAGCACACCCTGCTGTGCCTGTACACTGCTGAACACTGCTGTGAGCACACCCCCGCTGCTCCTGAACACTGCTGTAAGTACACCCTGCTGTGCCTGTATACTGAACACTGCTGTGAGCACACCCCCGCTGCTCCTGAACACTGAACACTGCTGTGAGCTCACCCCCGCTGCTCCCAACCACTGCTGTGAGCACACCCTGCTGTGTCTGAACACTGAATACTGCTGTAAGCTCACCCCTGCTGCTGCTGAACACTGCTGTGAGCACACCCCCGCTGCTCCTGAACACTGAACACTGCTGTGAGCTCATCCCCACTACTCCTGAACATTGAACACTGCTGTGGGTACACCCCCCCTGCTCCTGAACACTTCTGTGAGTACAACTCCCCATCTCCTGAACACTGCTGTGAGCTCACCTCTGCTGCCGCTGAACACTGCTGTGAGCACACCCCTGTGAACAAGCTCCTAAACACTTCTCTAAGCACATCCATCTGGTCCTGGACACTGCTGTAAGCACTCCAGACTGCTCCTGAACACTTCTGTGAGCACATCTTGCTATTCCAGAACACTGCTGTGTTCACACTTGGTTGTTCTTGAACACTGCTGTGTTCACACTTGGTTGTTCTTGAACACTGCTGTGATCACACTTGGTTGTTCTTGAACACTGCTGTGATCACACTTGGTTGTTCCTGAACCCAGCTCCTGGAGCCCCAACAAATCCTAATGCAGAGACAATCTGGACAGCCTGCCTGGGAATTCAGAGAGCTCTTTGAGCAGGATGCCCCTCTCCTAATGCTCTGCTAGAGCCCCAGCACACCAGCGCTGCTCATGAAACACTGAATATTTCTCTGATTCACCCCGTTTATATTTACCTCTACAGCAGTAGGTAAAGAAGGGTCCTTCTTCTACAACTACAATTCTCACTAGTTTCTTCCAGTAAAATGGTTTATCACACAATACCGATTAATCAGTGATGGTGTTTAGAAGTCCAGTGAGCCCAGGCTCACGCCAGCGAGTGACAGGAAAGATTGCAGATGAATCACCTGAGCTCACGCCTGACCCTCTGCCCTCCAAGTCCCTTTGTGCCTGGAGAGGAGGAAGACTATGGTACTTACCGGCTGAGGTGGGCAGCGCCAGGACAGCGAGAGCGAAGACGAAGACGAACAGGCGGCTCTTCATCATCGTCAGGACGGACCAGCCCTCCCCTGACTGCAGCCGAGACCCCCGACTTCACACCCGAGCCCACAGGGCAACTGAGCTGAGACTCTCACTTCCCAGCCTCTTAGCTATATCATGGCCCCCATCCATCACCAATCACACTCTGCCTTGCCTTTTTCAGCCTGCCAGCAGGAAACCTTCAAATAGGGCAGATGGCAAATCACATCGGACTGTGTCACGTTTGTCCATATATATCAAAGACACACAGCCTGCTCCCAGGTAGACCCCTCCCAGCAGTGACGAGCCCTGCGCTGCAGGAGAGAGAGAGAGTGAGCAAGGATCAGGTCACACAGCTCTTCATTTCACAGACAGGGCAGGCATAGAGGCAAGCAGAGAATCACAGGCAAGCAGGTAACCAAACCTCACGGCACCTGGCTGCATAGTTTTTATTACACAGCCGGCACATTTTCCTCAATTTCCCTTCGGGATCAATCCAGTTTTATCTTATCTTAACGAACTAATCATTTTGGGGACCACACGTAGTTTGTCATAGAAATTCCCTCTTCAGCTCTCGGTTGAAATAATTTGCAAGGAATCACATATCTGCTGTTTCCCTTATGCACATGGGGGTTTGTCCCCATCAGGATATGTTAAAACACTAGGCATATATATCCAAGAAGAAGAAAATCCTGAAAGTCTGTCTTTCAAGTCCATTGTCAGTCTGTTGCTGCTGCCCATGTTATGGAGTTAGTTTAACTCTGCTAATTCATTTTAGCCTCTGCTATTTAATTTTTCTCTTTTCTAATT